CGGTGAAACTCACAAAGCGTCTGGTTTCCTCGAAGCGAAGTGACTCGAAAACTCGAAGCGCTGTTGCTGCGATTCGTGCAGCAGCACTCCGGATAATATTTTCAAAAGCCGCTTTCTCTTGTTTTCATGTCTTTTTTACTTTATGAGTGTAGACATTGTTTAACTGAGTGCTGGTCATTTGACCAAGTGTCCCGATCATTTTGCAATTTAAGAACTCGCACTTGTTTGCTTGCTTACATAAAATATTCCAGAAATATCCAATTAAACAGACTGAAAAGCCCCAGAATCGACTCTCCACGTCTTCATGTCTAAGGCTACTGTTATTATCTGCTTAATACAGCTCTGAGATGTCCTTAAGATGTCTTTTGGGGGGCTTCGAAGAGTTAATTTGCTTCTCCCATAATCACTCTAAATTTTCAGCTCAGCATGAGAGTAATACAACCAGTGACGTCACTAGGCTGTTTTGGCCACGCCAAGATGGCCATCAATTTTGGGCTTAACCAGCCAACTTCGAATGGCTGAAAAAGGAGTTTTCGCTTACCGTATGCAAAAAAAGTCTACAATGTTTCCAAGTAAGGTCAAAACTTTATTACTAAGCAAAAATCTCATACGAAAATTTCGTTTCAGTAGCACTTTAACAGATCTATCTAGAAGCAACTGACCTTTATCAATGATGATGTGTAAAAAAGTGAATCACAAGAAAATAATGGGGTTAACTAAAAGTGGAGTAATTAATAAATAATGCAACATGCTTTACTTAAGATACTTTAGAAAAAGTTGACTATTCTACTATGTATAGTATAAAAGGAAAACCTTTGCATACTACATGCAGTGCAATTCAAAAATAAAAGTCTATTAAAATTATTTACTGTGAATTATTACTGAATTGTCGCTCAAAACAAAGTTCATTCAATGGGTAAAGTTCTTTGTCAGCTTCAGGCCTTTAAGTTTTCTTACATGCTAATTAATAGATCAGCTAAGCCTTTTCTATAAAATTACATGCAAAATAAACTTACAGTAAAAACTTACATTTACTCTCTGCTACTCCAGTTGGGCAAGAGGAATTACCATGATCTGTACACATACATTTAAGACAAAATAGTTTTCATAAATTTATCGTAGAGTAAAAGTTTTCAAATAGAATGAGTTACTGCTTAACATAAATATCTTAGACTGTGGTATTTTAATTATCAAAAGGTGAAAAGGGGCTGTCAGATGATCATACTCTGCTGACACGCACACATATTTATGTCGTATTAGACATTGCTCTTTAGTTTTGGATTTTAAAAAAATGATGATGTCCAGTGCAAACGAAGAATTGCGCACTCTAATAGCTAATGAGGATTTCCACATACTATTTGGTTACATAAGTATTTACTAGCTTGTTATTCAGGCTAACCGGAATGGCTCGCATGATTTTATGGCTTGATCTATGACATTTCATTTGCACACCCAATGTGTGATCAGTCCGTGCAATCATTTTCATCAGAGGGGAATGGTTTCTATTGGTTAGGTGCTCAGCCAGAAGCAATTACAGCTTTATTATACAACTACCTCTGCAACAGCAATGAGAACTTCACCAAACAATAAATTAAATAAGAGCCATTAGAAATTGATCACCCTCATTGCATATTAGTTTGAGCAGGTTTTAGACTGATCTAGTTAGGTACTGAACCAATTGCAAAATTTGACAATTGCAAAATTTAAGGGTAAAATACTAATGAACTTTACTAGACGGCGTACTAGGCGGCGTCCACGGTGTCACTTTTATCATTGCTTAAGCACCCTAACTCTTCAGTATTGCCCCCACCCTTGGTCAATAATTTACTATAGATTTGCATTCCTCTCTGTCTTGGAAATTAGTGACTATAACTTGTGTAACAGCTACATAATAGCCTGAACTTACCTTCCAAATGCAAATGTTTCATAAATTTGCATGAATCTTTGCAAATATTTCTTCTTTTCACATGTGCACCTGATCCCTGAAAGCATAATATTGTTCATAAAACAATGATGAGAAAGATATCACAGAGATAACTTATAAACATTACAGTTATTAGGAAGGATCAATATCCTGATCAACTGGGTAATTTATAGATGTTAGTATCTATAAGCTGCTGATGATTTTGACTGGTTTAAAGGTCAAACTCAATTTGTTCCAAGTCTTCCTTAAGGTATCATGGCAGGTGGATTTTTATGAAAAATGCGAAAACCCTTTTTTTGGCTGTTCAAATTAAGAAGACTGAGATAAATATTTTGCAAAAAGAACGGGGGAAAGAGCTTTTTTACTTTTTAAGTTAAAGCAAAAAAACAATTTTTGAATATTATTAACCCCTTACAGCGCGTTGACACCTCTAATTAAAATTCACCGCCAGTTGTAACAAGTAACACGAATTGCGGTGTGATATTTCATTTCTGCACATGAACTGTTCTTGATCTGGTTGTTTAATCTCAAGTTGGCTTTCGTTCTTGTCAAATTTTCTTTATGTCAGGACGAAAAATTCTTGGCCATTTTCGTCTTC